ATCTAAAAAAAAAAAAAAAAAAAAAAAAAGCTAAAGCTTATTAACTCAAAACAATTGAATAAATAAACTATTAAGTTAAAATTCTTAGAACTGTTGATTATTATGATTAAGTACCTTTTAATGGGTAATTGTAGCTTCATTAATATGTTTTCCACTTTGTATACTATGCTTTTAGGACCTACAATCTTTGACTTCACTGACAAGTACTAGGATGCAACATTTTCTTTACGGTGCTTTAATTTCTTCGAAGATAATCCTTTGGCACTCTCTTTTATGGTTGATTTTCTTTTCCATTGCTTTGTTGATATATTTGTCAGCTATCATCGCTGTCAAAATCTTCTCTATGAACGTTATGGCATTTGGTACTCGTATTCTGCATATCTGCATATCTGCTTCTGACAACGTTATGGCATTTGATCTTCTTCTATCTATGACTGCTATGGATTAATAATCACACATACTACTGTCTAACTGACCTATGCTGATATCAGAACATGGAGAATGCCTATCCTGGGTCCAATATCCTTGTAGTGACAATAACAAATGGAGAATCGAAACGTATCGAAGCTCAATCTGATGAGGAGACATTGAGCGAATCCATGGAAGTGCTTAGGGATATGTTCGGACCTGACATTCCAGATGCTATTGACATACTTGTTCCTCGCTGGTGGAGTAACAGGTTCCAGCGTGGTAGCTACAGTAACTACCCCATCACCTCTGATTGCCAAGTTATTCAAAACATTAAGGTTTACTGCCAACTCTTTCTGCAAGTTTTCATTTCTAACTGATTGCATAATTGATCGATCTGGAATTACTTTGAAAGTAGAAACTCTCTCTAGAAGCATGTGAATACCAAAGAATCTTACACCATCGAATAAGTCAAGCACATAACTCGTCAAAAGAGCATGTGAGATCCCACATCGGTTGGAGAGGGGAACAAAACATTTTTTAAATAGGGGTAGAAACCTCTCTCTAGCAGACGTGTTTTAAAACTTTGAGCGGAAAGCCAGAAGGGAAAGCCCAAAGAGGACAATATCTATTAGCAGTGGGCTTAGGCGGTTACAATTGGTATCAGAGCTAGACACAGAGCGATGTACTAGTGAGGATGTTGAGCCTCGAAGGAGGGTGGATTGTGAGATCTCACACCGATTAGAGAGGAGAACAAGTGCTAACGAGAACGTTGGACCTCGGAGAGGAGGGGTGGATTGTGAGATCTCACATCTGTTGGAGAGGGGAATGAAGCATTCTTTAAAAGGGTGTGGAAACCTCTCTCCAGCAGATGCGTTTTAATATCTGTTAGTGGTGGACTTGGGCTATTATAGAGCATAAAATGAACTAGATTGAAATATGACATCCAGAGCATCCTAGTGTTGTGTGTTCACGAGTTGTGAAACTTCGGTTTGAGTTTGTTTTCGTTGTTAGTTTTGCTAGTGTTACTTGGTTAGTAGGTTAATATCATCCCGTGTTGATCTTTTAGAATTCTTAAAAGTTTTAGATTGTTTTGATATCATAGATATTTCATTTTAACCAATTCGCTTTTGGTGGCGTGTTGTTTCTAGGAGCCCATTGAACGTATCTTCGTTGTTAGTTAGTTTTCCTAGTGTTACTTGGTTAGTAGGTTAATATCATCCCGTGTTGATCTCTTAGAATTCTTAAAAGTTTTAGATTGATTGATATCATAGATATTTCATTTTAACCAATTCGCTTTGGGGGGCGTGTCGTTTCCAGGAGCCCATTGGACGTATCTTCTTCACCGGAGAACACACAAGCGAAAGATTTAATGGCTATGTACATGGTGGATATCTTGCAGGTTTCAAAACATCTACAAACTAATATGGTTTCATTGGAGACTTTACATACTTCAAAATACATGTTTTTCTGATGAGATTCTCTTTTATTGACCAATGGAACAGGCATAGACACAAGCAATACCCTGTTGGAAGAAATGAGGAAAGACGATGAAAGAAAAAGCAACGGTCAATCGTTCTTGTTAGAGCCCTTGCTAGCTCTAACAGAATCATTAACTTTGACCCAAACCGAAGCAGCCTCAGGCCTTCACAAATGTGATCTTCCAACACAATTGTACCTTAACAGCAACCACGGCATCCCAGAAGCAATTTTATGACTACATAGACGACATACAAAGGAACATGGATCTCGTTTGAACGATGAAGAAAACACGGCTAAGATGAGTTTGAATCCAAATTCGATTCAGGACTCCGATACCGTATATGAAGAAGAATGCATGAAATGAAGCAGGAGATAGTTGAAGAAATAAAGCTGAAGAGATGATGGATGATCTTCATAGAAATCAAGGTGTGCCCACTTTTCTGATCATTGAAGGCTTTACTAATAATCTGTGCGTTAATTGTAGAAATTATTTTGCTGATGAAAAAGTTCTTAGAGGAATTGGTGGGAGGAAATATTGGATTTTCTAATTGTATTGTTACTTTTAATACAAGAAAGAACTCTCACTTTTCAGGTATCTCCAATCACCATTGTTGTTTACTCATAGCTGTTCTTTATAATTCTCAAGTATGACTGAACTCCCCATCATTCTTAAACGATATTAGTTCTACGATTAATAATTCATGAAAGTAGCAACAATATGACGGTGATTGATATCTACGATTTCTCTAGAGGTTGAAAGTTCAAATATCTATACGGCTCATTTCAACCGAGACTAAAATGTGAAAATTTTTAAATTTTAAGAACTAAATTATTAGATACATTGTTATAAGAATTGAGAGTAGAAGAACTAAATAGTTATAAACTTGACGAAAAAAGAATTCAAATCTCGCATTCCGCAACTTAGAAGTGTTTTACGTACCTCAGCAATATGTCGGAGAGTTCAAGGATCTAGATGCTCTTGTTGGCGACTACATGATCGATTACCGAGCAGCTGTGGAGATGGAGTTGCTCTATATTTGCAGAGAATAGTTGCTTAAACGACGAGCAATACTATCTTTCTTAACGAGAAAACGAGCTTTCATTGAGAAAAACGAAATAAAAACGAAGGCACCCAAAGGGAGTCCAATAAAGCAAAGAAATTCTTTGGCACAGAGACAGAACATTAGAGTTCATAAGTGATCTCATTGCAACACAGAACCAACTGACAGAGACAAAGAAAAACCTTTTGACATCGGAAGAAGGAAAAGACAAAGAACTGAAATGGTCATACCATGTTTGTTCTGGAAGAACATAGAGAAATTGTGTCAACCAAAGTACTTTTCATAGAAGGCTCTAGAAATAGCAATTGAATTTCCTTCAGCTTTAACTGGGTATGTTTCTGAAGCAGCTTGCCATTTGTTTGAGAACAGAATCCATTCTCTTCTCCACTCTTCCAAATGGAAGCTCTCGTTTTTTCTCAGGCTTTTTGACACGTAATAAAAGTAGGTCAAAGCTCTTGGAAGATAGTAGCCTTCAAGAAGCCCACTCCAGTACTTATTTGCTGATAAAAGAGCACAACAATATGTTCATTTGAAAGAGAGAGCATGATATTATAATACGGCCCAAACCCGCCGCTAGCAGATATTGTACTCTTTGGACTTTCCCTTTAAGGGCTTCCTCAAGGTTTTAAAATGCGTCTGCTAGGGAGAGGTTTCCACACCTTTATAAGGAATGCTTCATTCTCCTTTCCAAGCGATGTGAGATCTCACAATCCACCCCCTTGGCGCCAGCGTCCTCGTTGACTGGCTCTGATACCATTTGTAACAACTCAAACCCATCGTTAGCAGATATTGTCCTCTTTGAGCTTTCCCTTTAAGGGCTTCCCTCAAGGTTTTAAAATGCGTATGCTAGAGAGAGGTTTTCACATCTTTATAAGGAATGTTTCATTCCCCTCTCCAACCAATGTGGGATCTCACAATCCACCCCCTTGGGACCCAACGTCCTCGCTGGCACACTGCCCAGTGACTGGCTCTGATACCGTTTGTAACAGCCCGAACTCACCGCTAACAGATATTGTCCTCTTTGGGTTTTCCCTTCAACGATTACGCCTCAAGGTTTTAAAACGCATCTACTAGAGAGAGGTTTCCACACCTTTATAATGAATGCTTCGTTCCCCTCTTCAACCATGTGAGATCTCACAATCCACCCCCCTTCAAGCCCAGCGTCCTCGTTGGCACACCGCTCGGTGACTGACTCTGATATCATTTGTAACAACCCAAACCCACTGTTAGCAGATATTGTCCTCTTTGGGTTTTCCCTTCAAGGACTTCCCCTCAAGATTTTAAAACGCGTCTGCTAGGGAGTGGTCTCCACACCTTTATAAAGAATGCTTTGTTCTCCTCTCCAATCGACGTGGGTCTCACAGTATTAAAAGTTCATAATATTACCATAATCATGAAGCTTGCTCTGATTGACCTCTGTGTTATCATACCACATAGTCACTTGAGTTCTTGCATTCCATTCATACTGAATCAAGAAGAGAAAATTTGAAGCTTTCAACTTAACCAAAAAAGGTAGCAATATGGTTCAAGTATCATGCCATTAGAAAGGGGCTGTTCCTAACCTGCTTCATCTCAGATGGATTTGTGGCAAGCTTCTTTGCACTTTCAAGCCATGTTCCAACCAGAAAATTTGAATCAGAAGCAAGCAATCTGTCAATATCTCTTATTAATTGAACAAATCTCTTGCTGTGATGATTCAGAGCCGCCACATTCTTGCGCCGAAAAGAAGATACAGCTTTCAAATATTCTTCATTTGCCAGCTTCCCTAGCACTTGCCGCGTTAAGTCAACCAAGTCATATCTGTTCAATGACATTCAATAAGGCTTCATTGTTAGCTTCTCTATGTACATGTTGCATTGGATCTTACCAGACATCCTTATGACTCGACCATATGCATATGGAAAACGTGCCGTTTTACCTATATGTAGTGCTGTTGCGGAGATTATCACCGGCTTTAAGGAGTAGCTGCAAGGCATTGATAACCTCCTGAGTGGGATACCATAGATGTGGCATTTTCTGATCAAAGCTTGAAGATGGATCCCAATCTGGAAGTTTGACAATGAAATCATTGTTATGGTCCTGGAAAAAAAAGTTCAAAGGAATGGATCAGTGAAATCAGGCAAGACCGAGTTGCCTTGATAGAAAGCATGGTAGAAGCACACATATTAGTTTTAAAAAATCCATATCGCTGTTGGGCATAGTGTCACAATTGCATTTTTTTTTGGTAATGGACTTTGTGATTGTGCGGCACTCACTCCCAAAATCGAATGAGTCAAGCCAATTTGAATTCGCGTTGCCTACGACCGGACAATGTATGCTCAAGCCTCTGGCCCCGTTTTGAGAAAAAAGATTTAGAAAACATGGACAGAGAGATTTTTGAAAGAGAGTTTGAAAGCAATATTGAAAGAAGGTTTTGAAAGCAATGTTATAGGGCTATAAGTGATAAAGGAAATACAACGACTTATATAGCATATAACTCCGGGTGGGGAGAACTGACAATTAGTAGCATCTCGCTTGTTGCGACTCAAATCCACCGCTAGCAGATATTGTCCTCTTTGGGCTTTTCTTTCGGGCTTCCCCTCAAGGCTTTAAAACGCGTCTGCTAGGAGAAGGTTTCCACACCCTTATAAAGGATGATTTGTTCTCCTCCCCAAAAAATGTGGGACATCACAATCCACCCCCCTTCGGGGTCCAGCGTCCTCACTGGCCCTTTCTCCAATCGATGTGGAACCGCCACCAAATCCACCCCTCTTCGGGGCCAGCGTCCTTACTGGCACACCGCCTCGTGTCTACCCCCTTTGGGGAATAGCGAAAAGGCTGGCACATCGTCCGATGTCTACCCCCCTTTGGGGAATAGCGAAAAGGCTGGCACATCGTCCGATGTCTGGCTCTGATATCATTTGTAACGACCCAGATCCACCGTTAGCAGATATTGTCCTCTTTGGGCTTTCCCTTTTGGGCTTCCCCTCAAGGCTTTAAAACGCGTCTGCTAGGGGAAGGTTTCCACACCCTTATAAAGGGTGATTTGTTCTCCTCCCCAACCAATGTGGGATATCACACCGCTATAGTACATTTTGAGGCGATTCAGGTCAGGCAAGCCTAGACGTGATTTCGCCGAACAATCATAGAGAGAATTAACAACTAGTCACATCCCCCTATCATACATTTTGAGGCGATTTAGGTATAGCAGACCTAGACATGATTTCGCCAAACAGTCATATAAACAAAAAAATATAATAGTAAGTCAATACAACATAAAATCAAATAAAGGGTTTGACATGATATCGGCATGCAGCCATCGGAAACACGCCCTGAACGAGAATGACCGTGACATATAGCTCACCCATATCAAGTCTTCAAGACACGAACATTAAATGCAACAAATCTAGTAAAAATAAAAAGACCAGAGAAGTGTGCATTTCATCCTGTGTTAACTAAATGATTCTCTTGAATTAGAACTAAGAACAGTCTCCAAAGTTTCACAATTTCAACAGAGCTTTTTAGGCAAAACAACAAATTTTCATGATTTCGAAAAATAGTCGAATCTACACGTAACTAGTTTGAGATGACTTTCGAAAAAACTGCTTCTACTTGAAGCACTTCTAAAGGCTTTTTTAAGAACTTTCAAGGTTATTTTTATGGTTAAACAATATAAATTTATTTTCTGAACATTATGCCTCAACTTTACATACCGCAATGCCATCAGTGCAATTGTAAATTGTATGATAAAGAATGTTCCAAGCTGCCTCGACGAAACGATCTGCTTTGCCATAACGACAACGGGAGTAGGTCGTCAACCAATCCTACAGGTGATTACAAGATTTCATTATGGCCCTTATATGATCATCATAGAATTATTTCATGGAAGTTTACATTAATCCATTATATGCAAGAACACTCAATTGTGTCAGCAGTAGATATTACAGGAGAAGAATAAGAATTGTGACAGAGAGAGAATGAGACAAAGAAGATAATATCAGTTCCAAGAGAATATGTAAAAGCTATCAAAGTACAGTCCACTGTAGCCAATGTTTAGATGCAACAGCTTAAGCCTACCGCTAACAAATATTGTCCGCTTTGACCCGCTACATAGCCGTCAGACTCACGATTTAAAATGCATATGTTAGGGAGAGGTTTCCACACCCTTATAAGAAATGCTTCGTTCTCCTCTCCAACCGATGTGGGACCTAACAATCCACCCCCTATGGGGTCCAGCGTCCTCGCTGGCACACCGCCCTGAACCTGGCTCTGATACTATTTGTAACAGCCCAATTCCACCGTTAGCAGATATTGACCGTATTACATATCGCTGTCAGTCACACGGTTTTAAAACGCATCTGGTAGGGAGAGGTTTCCACACCCTTAAAAAGAATCCAACATTGTAGACTGACAGAGAGACACCTGCTTATGTGGCGGTTACATGTACAATCATTGCATAACGCTGTGAATCACTGAACATAGATATTGCCTCAACTATGCATTTCCTTTCTATGGGAACCTCAACTATTAAAAGGCATTTAGATCAAAGCTACCTGGACTTCAACTTTTTTGCTGCGAAATGCCATTTCAGACATCAATTCATAAACGACCGAATTATGCTCTATTCCTTCCATGCACATGCCAACGCCAACCTACCATAGGGAAGGAAACACCATGTGTAAGAGGATCAAATATCAAGAGTTCCAATCTTTACATCCTACTTTCACATGCATGAATGGGATGAAATGAAGAAATATAGAACTATGGTCGACAAAATATACAGCGGACAAACATATCTTCTGTTCTCTAAGAAATATTAGCTAGCTGCATGCACATAGGAGTGTTGACGATTGTTGGGAGGAAGTCTCATATTGGCTAATTAAGAGGATGATCATGGGTTTATAAGTAAGGAATACTACCTCCATTGGTATGAGGCATTTTAAGAAAACCAAAAGTAAAGTCATGAGAATTTATGCTCAAAGTAGACAATATCATACCCTCGTGGAGGTCCGTGATTCCTAACATGGTATCAGAGTCATACCCTTAACTTAGTAATGTCAATAGAATCCTCAAATGTCGAACAAAGAAGTTGTGAGCCTCGAAAGTGTAGTAAAAAAATGACTCAAGTGTCGAACAAAGAGTGTACTTTGTTCGAGGGCTCTAAGAAAGGAGTCGAGCCTCAATTAAGAGGAGACTGTTCAAGGGCTCTATGGTGTATTTTGTTCGAGGGGAGGATTGTTGGGAGGGAATCCTACCTTGGCTAATTAAGAGGATGATTATGAGTTTATAAGAAAAAAATACTATCTTCATCGGTACGAGGCCTTTTGGGAAAACAAAAAATAAAGCCATGAGAATTTATGCTTAAAGTGAACAATATCATACCATTGTGGAGGTCCATGATTCCTAACATGGTATCAGAGCCATACCCTTAACTTAGTCATGTCAATAGAATCCTCAAATGTCGAACAAAGAAGTTGTGAGCCTCGAAAGTATAGTAAAAAAGTGACTCAAGTGTCGAACAAAGAGTGTACTTTGTTCGAGGGCTCCAAGAAAGGAGTCGAGCCTCAATTAAGGGGAGGCTGTTCAAGGGCTCTATAGGCCTCAAGGGAGGCTCTATGGTGTATTTTGATCGAGGGAAGGATTGTTGGGAGGGAGTCCTACCTTGGCTAATTAAGAGGATGATCATGGGTTTATAAGTAAGGAATACTATCTCCATTGGTATGAGGCCTTTTGGAAAAACCAAAATCAAAACCACAAGAATTTAGGGTCCATGATCCTAACGAGTTCATATGCAAAATGCATCGCATACATAAGACCTTAGTAAATTATACAATACAGAATTAAACATACCATTGTTGAGTTTTCACTTGCAAGGGCATCGACTGGACCCGAAGAGATTGCATCCAATACACCATACATTTCTATATTTCCACCAAAGTTATGCAACATACACCTGAAATCAAACTAGGTTTTAATAAACTTGTGAAATAAAAACATCGAAAGGACATTGTTGAGAAGTTCCGATGCTTTTTTGAAAATGGTAATAAAGGGGTTACTGACCATACATAGGGTGTGCCATAAAATTGAGATGATGTTTTCCAAATAGGCTTGACGTCCGCAAAAAGATCAAGAACAATCATTTTCCCAAATGGAACCGAATGAAGTAGGGCCTGCAGATCCCATAAAAGATGGCTAATAAATGGCATTATGAGACAACCAAAAGGCCAGAAAAAGAGTCACTTTGACATTAATTAGATATTTACATTCAGCATATGTTGCTAGCATTTGATAGTTTGACCGTTGATTACACAACAGTCATAGAAAAAAGACAATGGTGAAACCAGTAATGGTGTAAAATCCTAAGCCCAAGTCCACCTCTAACCGATATGTCCTATTTGGGTTTTCTTTTTGGGCTTCCCCTCAAGGTTTTTAAAACGTGTCTGCTAGGGGGAGGTTTCCACACCCTTATAAAGAATGCTTCGTTCTCCTCCCCAACCGATATGGGATCTCATAACCCACCCTTCTTCGAGGTCCAGCGTCCTCACTGGTACTTGTTCCTCTCCCCAATTAATGTGGGATCTCAAAATCCATCCCCTTTCGGGGCCCAGCGTCCTCGTTGGCACACCGCCCGGTGTCCACCCCCTTCGGGGCTTAGCGTCATCATTGGCACACCACCCGGTGTCTGGCTCTAATACCATTTGTAACAGCCCAAGCCCACAGCTAGCAGATATTATCCTCTTTGGGCTTTCCCTTTCGAGCTTCCCCTCAAAGTTTTTAAAACGTGTCTGCTAGGGAGAGATTTCCATACCCTTATAAAGAATGTTTCGTTCTCCTCCCCAACCGATGTGGATTTCACAAATAGACCATAGATAAATGATTTTTGGTTAGACCCACTTGGATTTGACATCATCCACTCCCATCGACCCATATTGCAAGCAGATGGGTTCTGATTTCTTTTCTTTGATTCAGCCTACTTTTAGAACTTCTATAAGTTGGTTTTCTAGCCAACGTTCTCTTCCAATTCACGGATACCAAGACACCCTTCATTTCCATCAGCAAACAATGACCCTCCATTAGACTTCCGAAGTCTAGATCCATGCTCAAGAACGGTTACTCTTAGGACAATTTGAGAGGTACCAATGTATATTCCAAAGCAAGAACTGTATCTCGTTCGATACACCCATATATTTCCCAGCCTCATTCCTGTTCCCCTACCCTAAACAATTCCCTCTAACAACCTCCAACTATCCCACATAACTACAAACCAGTACAACTTTAAACAAGAGATGAGGACATTGGGTGAGACTCTTTAGATCAAATACATCCTTTACCAGTAACAATGACTGTTAAGAAATTCTATGTGGCTTGTGTGCGTACATACTTTCATTTGTTCAGGTTTCCAAAAAGTAGAGTCTGAATAGAAGAGCCATCCCTGCACACAGATAGAACAATCAATTTAAAACAAATATAGAAAGAAAAAACACTCATCAAACTAAAATTTGTAAAAAGTTTGATTTGCATAAACACCCCCGAAACTTGAATTAACCCGTCTTTCTATTCTACAATTTTGAATCTGCTGAACTCCATAAACAGTGTGGTTACCAAGTTAACCTTTGATATGGTTTCGTTATAGTTGAACAAAAACAAACATTTATGCCTAGTTTGATGATGATTTTGTTTTTAGCTCTATGTTGTTAAGAATCAAACTTACTCACTAGACATTTATTTTCCAACATTTCTAACTTTTTAAAATAGCCTTTCAAGTTTGAGAGAAATTCCAAAAATAAAGTTCCAGAAACCAAAGGATTATAAGAAATAAAATTTTACTCTATAAACAAAAAAGTTTAACATGAAACCAAAAACAAAACTGTTGTAAAAAAACTTGTTTAGATAGTGAATTTCTTAAAGTTCTTATTGTTAATGATAGTTGGACTAAGTACACCGTATGCGGCTATGACTAAGTCAATTAATTAAGGACACAAAAACTATCTATTGTAACATGAGGAGCATACTTGCATAAGCCACACAGCATCCTTATCAGCTTTCACCATGGCTTTATAGACAGAAGCTCCAAGTGATGAAATATATGAAGTGTCATTGGTAGGTGGAGTATTTTCATTGAATGTATCACTGCAATGAACAGGATATATATCATTCAGTTCTCCATGGAAGCAAGATATGATAAATAAGGGAAGTGAAGGAATTTCTCTAAATCTAGTTATTGCAATGATCTGTTAGAGATTAAACTTGTTTCATGCACTTAAATTCTAGTATTTTTTAACATGTTCCAAAACAACAAGCCTAAGGGTCCTCATTTGGAAACAAGGGACACCTTTAGTTCTTTGCTGGAATGAATAATAATGCAAAAGGAAATATGGATACCAATCAATTGTTGCCAGCCATTATGTGAATTCTGTTTTAGATTCAAATTTCTCTCTCTCTACTACTGTAATAGCCCAAGCCCACCATTAGTAGATATTGTCTTCTTTGAGCTTTCCCTTCTAGGTTTTCCCTCAAGGTTTTAAAACGCATCTACTAGGGAGAGGTTTTCACACCCTTATAATGAATGTTTCATTCCCCTCTCCAACCGATGTGGGATCTCACAATCCACCCCTCTTGGGACCCAGCGTCCTCACTGGCACATCATCCAGAGTCTGGCTCTGATACTATTTGTAATAGCCCAAGCCCATCGCTAGCAAGTATTGTTCTCTTTGGGTTTTCCCTTCTATGCTTCCCCTCAAGGTTTTAAAATGCATCTACTAGGGAGAGGTTTCCACATGCTTATAAGGAATGTTTCGTTCTTCTCTTCAACCAACGTGGGATCTCACAACTACTTGGATGCAATTTCATATGTCATAATTTAGTGCAACTTATTTCGAGTTTGAATTAGTAATGGAATATATGATATTCGTAATCATTTAATATCTTGAAGAATATATTAGTTAGGAAATATATTTTAGATATTCGTAATCAGTTAAATTTGAATAGTAGTATATTTTATTTTATTATCAAGATTTAGTTAGTTTATATTTTCTTTGTAGATATGATTTAGTATTTTGTATCCTATTTAAAGGTTGTGAAAGGTTGTGAATATCAATGAAGATTAAGAACCTTCGATCCCAATTCTATTTCTTATTCTTAGATCTGTATTCTTTCGTTGAGTAATAATATTTTCATATCTATTCACACTTTTGAGCGGTAGATGTTGCATCATCATATGCTTCCAAATTGCAATAACTCATAAAGGGCATTCTGATCCATTTAAACTGTTTTCCTTTGGGAATTGGAATATTTTCCTATAAGACACAAATGAAAACTAAGCATTGAGAAAGGTTAATACTAACTAAGAAAACCTTACAAAAAGTGATGTTCCAACACATCGATCCATATAATATACAGTGACTTAATGCACAGGGAAAGTGCTTATCCATCAACAGGAAAACAATATACATCAAGAAAAAACGTGATAAAGATAATATTCAGTACTACAAATAATTGTTACCAGTTGTAAATGTCTGTTACATCCCCATACTCTGCAGAAAATACAGAAAATGTGAAAAACAAAAGCATAATAGTTCAATGTCAAAAATAATGTGCAACTTGATGAGATATCTTTTGTGAACAATCTATACTTCCAATAGCATGACAACAGCATACTATTAATCGATATAAAATATTTTAACAGACTTAAAGCTGAAATTGATAGGTAGCTAGTTGACATGCATTATACGATCATACACAACAAATTACACCCGTCTTAAGAGAATGCATCCATTTATGCAACACAGACAGGCTCCCAATGTAAAATATGTTGATATGGGGTAGATTCTATTATTTTGAACAATAATTCTAAAAATAATGTCCTTGCTAACTGCATTTAGAATCTTTTTTGTAATTTTATTGTGTTTTCTTTTGATGTGTAAACGAAAATAACCTATTAAAAAAGGGAATCATTATCACTTAAAAAAGCATGAAGTTGTGAATAGCAGCTTTGATGAACACAATACTATTAACTTTTACCATTCATTCAATCTCAATTTTCAACAACGATTTTGAAAAACAATCCTTTACTTTCTAATTGTTAACTGAAAAACAGACTATTGTTCTTTTGACATGGTGACAAGCGTGCATGATGAGATACCAATATCAAAGCGTGAGCCACTGCACAATGTGAACAGGATAAATTATGCATATATCCACAAAGGACAACAACTTGGCCGATCTAAATTTACGTCATAGCAAGTTCGAGAAGAGCTTTTAACTCAAAGCCAACGGATGGAACTGCACCTTTAATTTGTTGTCTGATAAAAGCCTCCCCAATCTTGACAAACA